TTGTCCCAGTCCCCTTGCTAGAGGCTGTGCCCTTAGAGTAGGCATCTGGTGAGCTCACATTCTGTTGTTGATGGCGTTAAGATGCTCCTAGGAGTTTTCTAAGGGGACTCCATCCAAAGGAACCCACCTCTAAGGATGGATTTTTTTTTTTTTTTGTGGCTCTGGGGCAGCTACACGGAGAAGAAATTGTCCTCAGCGGGTTTGTTTTTCTAGGGTCAGTCAGTGACCCTGAAGACAGGGTCTGGAACCGAGGCGCTGCCTACTTCACTTGTAAGTAGGGCTGCTCATGATATGGGACATCCTTTGGGCATTTTAATGTGCATTTATTGTGACTCACATTAACCACAGAATTTTCCATGGAAGTGGTACCTCAAGGAACTCTTTGTTCAAGGCCCAAATGTAATGAAAGGCTCTTCCCACTTCTCACTGTAGGTCTTTGCAGTGTAAATGTTGAAGGCTTTGTGCTGAGATGACCAGTTTCCTGATGTCCTTGTAGGGTAAGAGTGAGCATTGTCTTCCCTGAAGGGTGAGCTGCCCAGAAGTCACTCCTGGGGGGAGGCAGATCCTCATAGAGGAAACCGGACTCTGGAAGCAGGGGACTTCTAAATCCCTCTGGGCTCCTGTTTTGTGAGTTTGGACTTCAAGGAGTTTGAGAGAATGTCAGGGGCTATTTGCTTCTACTTCGTTGAGTTAGTTTTCCTGAGATTCTTCTGTGACATTTTGACTTTCTTTTCTGTGTCCTAGGGTGCTTTCTCCTTTAATCCTGGGAATGCTCAATCAGAAATTACAACCCAGTCCGGAGTGGGGTTGGTAGGGGAGTTGATTGATAGGGGATGTGAGGAAACCACTGGTGGGAGAGCTGTCCAAGGGTGTTCAGTCCAGACTGGAATATGAACTTGTTTCATCCAGGGCTGATCCAGGAGATACCTGTTCCTCTCACTTCTTTCATCATCACAAATGACTGTCCCTGCACACCCACCAGCCTCACTGCGGCTGTGTCCCCAGTCTGCCTGCAGGCACCATTGAATAGGCATGAGCCTTCACAACATGGTGGCTTAATTGCATACCCATCTTTAGCGCTGGGAACCACCAGTTCAGCAGTCTCAGATTCCAGTCTGTTACTCCTCAGGGAAAGCCTTCTCAGGCATGGGCCCAATTCTCTCAGGCACGGAACCCAGCCTTTTCTACTTAAATCTCTGTTCCCAAACTATTTTGAGTAGACACCCTACTAGGATGCAGTGTATCCTTTTGTTTGCTCATAATCTTCCCCCCCCTGAGCATGCCTCTCTCCCGAAAAGAATTTTACCTCACCAGTCCTCTGAGCTCCCTGTTGGGTCGTCTTCCATGAACTCACCCCAAATCTTTCCCTTCCCAATACTCAAAGTGCTTTCCCCCCATGATTTTTGGTAATGAATCACATATGCCTCATGACTTACTCCAATAATCATTTCATGGTGAGGGTAATTCCCACTTCACTTAGCCTTGCGGAGCAGATATCTGTCTGCAGATAAGTCTTTGGAATATTAACTCCATTTTGCAGAGTGGTTTTGATTTGGGCAGATATTTTTATCTATCTATCACCCATGCCAAAGGCTTCCCATGAGGAAATCTGGCTGACCTTCCAAGGATGAAGAGCACAGACCTCCCTTGGAAGCCAATGGAAGTGAATTCACTATCATATTTTTTTAAAGTAAAAATGGGAGATAATTAAATACAGTGTAGTTGTAAAACACAGAAGCATAGTCCAACTTCTTCCATATGAATTTGTAACATTTTTGACTCCCTGATAACTCAAGAAATGTTCAGGCCTGCATCTTAACAAGCACTTGTTCTAAGAATAAGGTGAAAATGAAACACTCTCAGATGAAAGGCTGATTGGATGGAATGCTGTGCCATCAGAATAAAGCATCTGACATTCCAGGTACCGTTAGATGAAACAAACATGCAAAAAATCTGTCAGGGAGACCATCTTCTTTTTGAGAAAACAAATGCATTGCCTACCCAGAACCAGTAAGTTAGTGTGAATATAGTTTTGAATGTTGTGACATTCTTTGAGTCCTGTACAACCAAACAAACCAGAAGTCTATGCATCTGAGTCGAAGGTAGCTTATCATTCGGCATCTGGAAATTTCTTATTTTGCTGAGTCTGACCCCAATGGGAAGAGACACAGGGCAGCACCCAATAACCCTTTTTATATAGCTTATTGACTTATCTAAGAAAAACAATAAGTTACTCATTCTTATTAGTCTGGTGGACTAATTCTAAAATCTGAGAATTTTACTTATTAGAACTATTATATTTGGGACAAGGCTGATAACGTAATTTCCAAAGGAGAAACTCCTATTGGAGAGAAATAGGATGCATCATGTTTATGCTTTCTATTGTTTATCAATATAATTTACAGTAAAAATGATTGTCTCTCTAGGTCCCGTATTAGGAGCATCAGAACCATCACCCAATAGGTAATTTTATTTTGTCTGACTTAAAATATTAAATTAATTCACAGACTTGTGCACTTCCTCTAGTCCATGACTTCCTTTCATGGGGAGGCTTGAGAAAAAATGACACATTCCAATAACACAAAAAAGGAATAGACTGTGATTCTAGAGCCCTGGGTTCTTTTCAGTTCAACCAGGTGGTCTTTTATGTTGACTTTTTGACACACCGAAATGTGATCATTAATGACATTGTATTTGTGAAGAAAGTACTCTGATGCGTTTATCTTTTTAAGCAGATGATTTTAGCTGTAACATGAAGGGTCTCAACTTACAGAAATTGCATGGTCTCTTTCCTAGTCACTGGGTCACAGGTGGCTTGCCATTTTGAGTTTGCAAATAAAGTGCATCTTGATAATTAGGTTAAAAGCAGACTGAGAGCACCAATTCAGCTCTCCGCAGGTGCCATCAAAAGTGCCCTTTTGCAGGAGAAAGCCACCAGCTCTGCACCTGCTCCCCGGAAGAGGAACCAGGTATTTGAAAGGCTGCCACAGAACTGACTCAACGAAATCACTCACAAACCGGATGTGGCTCTGTTTCCTCTCTACTAAGGGCGTGTATGTTGCTATCTCAACTGTACCTAATCTAACAGTAGAGACTGTATGTGAAAGGGCTCAGAGGAGCTCTTAATAGCCAAATGCCTGCAAGGATGCATTATTGCTTCAATTCTATCAAGCAAACCCAATGCTGGCAGAACTGTTCCCCATGTCACAGAAGGAGCAGAGGAAGTGCAGACATCCCTCATCATTTTACCTATTGGTTCAATCTTCCCCTTGAGGTAATGCTGCATTTGAGAAGTAAAACGAGAGAACGACTATAATCAACCATAATGAAGATGGGGACAGTTGAGTCTGGCTAAAAATTATGGATACATCAGACTCTTCCTCATTCACAAAATGGAGAAATGGCTGGGAAATCTCTTTGGAACTGTGAACTGTGAGCGGAGTATGGTGGACAGAAAAAGAACACTGCACATCCTGGGACAGAAACACAACTGGGGATTTAAGGCAGGCACTCCATGTGCTCAACAAACAGTGTTTCCTCTTCTCCTTAGTGATCCTGTGGTTGGCCTGCAGCTCAAAGGTTCCTTCAGATGACCAGGTGATGCATAGAATTTCAACAACTCTGAATCCTGAGAATCACTGATGGATTTGGGAGAGGAAGATATTTCAGGGCTAGAAATGCAAGTGACTGTGTGCAAGGCTTGGTCTTCGAAGGGGAAGGAAAGGGTGTTAACAAAGGGCCCGGAATTAGTGTATTTCCTGTTCTTACTTCCTTAAGTGACACCCTCAGGGCACCTCTGGCTCTTGGGAGGCTGCTCTCTTTCTAGCCTCCTCAGTCTTGTCCAAATGGCCCCTGCCCCATGGAAACACATGTCCGGGAGAGATGGGCTTGGGGTTGTCAGGTTTGCTGTAGAGGAGGTTAAAGTGAGGGAGAAGAACCAACAAAATGAATTTTGAGAGACTGGCATCAGTAGGGGCCCCGTTTGGGGAATCAGAAATCTTTGGGAAATAATTAAAATTACAGAGCGAACGGGAGTCACCTCTTATCTTATTTTAAAGACTCATGTATACTTTAGAGCAAAGCAATTTTTCTACCTCTGAACTATATAATAAGGAAATATTATTACTCTTTTGTTTGTTTATTACTGTAAGCATGCAAAGCCATTTTAACATTTACTCTTTATTGTGTTGTATGAAGTACCTATGTAACGCAGGTATGTACTGTACTCAAATATCCATATTTCCAAAGAACATCACACGGTGTAGCCCACAGTCTCTGCAGAAGCGCCATGGGTAACCTGTGCCTTTACACTTGACAATCCATGGTTGGCTGCTATGAAAAGTTTAACAGGGGAAGAAAAGAGAAAATAAAGCTAAGGTATGAATACACTTTTCCAAACATACATGTATGCAGCTTACAATGGAACCACAATGGGAACAGGTCAAATGACAACATTCGATGTAGTCATCTATAAAATGCAGACTCTGCAATAAAAAAGCCAAAGGCACATAAAAATATATTTCAACTTTTAAAAATAACTTAGTTACAGTAATACTTTGCTTGTCCTACCAACATGTAGCCGACAGTCAAAATTCTGCAATATTGACGTAATATATAGGTGCATATAAGAGCTACAAGAAAAATCCCACAAACCCATGAAGTTGTTCAAATGTGAAAACAGAACAGTTTTAACACTGAAGAATCTGCCGCGATGAGCCCAAACAACAGAATATAGAAGAGTCTAGAAAAAAAAGGCTTAGGTGTTAAATAAAATTTTGACTTCTTCTCACTCGGAAAATGCCAAGTGCTGGGAAGTTCCTCCCTGTGACTGTGCAGCCCTTGGTGGCCGGTGCCCTCCTGGCCGAGCCGGATTCCTATGTGTCTACAGACAAACCCTGTGAGCTGAACATCAGCCATCCTGCCCAAACAGGTTCTCACTGACTCACTTCCTCTTTTTGCCAGGACAGGTCTTTCCTTCTTTTTTATTTATTTATTTTTATAACTGTGTTTGCAAACAGGGCATACCAAGTAAAAAAAATACTCTGTAGGAACATTATCTTAGAAAACCCATCACATAGCTGCAAATACAGCCAGCAATGCTCTTCTCCTCGACTGTGGTCTGTGGTGGTGGTTTGATGGCTGTTGTTGTTTGATACCTTCCGTCCCGGAGGAATCGCCGGGGGGTGTCCCGCTACTTATTTTTGTCCATGACGTTCAGCACCTCGTCCAAAAACGAGGGCCCGAGATCGAGCTGCAGGGAGAGGAGGGAGCCCGTGAGATCCGAGAGGGACTCCTCCGACTTAGTCTTCTCCTTGACCAGCTGGCTGGGGGCCGGGTGGTCAAACATGTCCTCGGCCGGCCAGTCGGGGTACTGTTCGGAGAGGCTGGAGGAGTGGCTGTCCCTGCCCTGGCTGGACTGCGACACGGACGCGGACCCGCTGGAGGCCCAGGAGACGTCGCCCTGGTGGGCCACCCCGTTGCCCACCGGACGGCTCCTCTCCGGGGCCTTCTCCTCCGCCATGGGCTCGCAGGGCAGCCGGGCCAGCCGGGCCGGCCCGAAGGCCTCCTGTTTGGAGTGGAACGTCACCGGGGACAGCAGGGGCAGCATGAGCGCCTGGGACCCCCCGATGGTGGGCAGGGAGATGGCGTTCTTGAGCACCGGGGAGGGCGTGTCCGTGAACACGGAGTCGGAGGTGGTGCTGTTGGCCCGGAGGAACTCGCTGTGCCCGGGGAGCGGGCCCAGGGCCGCCTTCTCGGGGTTCCCCGGCAAGAGCTCGTAGTTGCCCTGGAGGAAGGAGATGTCCCCGAAGACGTCGTGCTGGCCCTCCTTGCCGATGTGGATGGTGTGGCGGAAGTCCCCGAGGGGAGGGCTGATCATATCGGGGGACAGGATGTCCCTGAGTTTAAACTTCTTCCCTTTCTTGTTGTTGGCGGCCTTCAGGTAGATGGGGGTCTTGGCTGGCATTTTGGAATCGGAGAATGTCTCTTCCGCCAGAGGGGAAGAGGGCCACTGTCTTCACTTCACAGGGTTCCGTGCGCCCGACAGTCCTTTCTGGTGGGAAGCCGTCACACCATTTTCCTCCCGGGGCTTCGGAGGGGCCGTGAGAGGGGACGGAGGCCGAAGAGACACCTTCCTGGAGTTACAGCCAAGCGGGGGGCTCTGGGGAGCCGGTCACAACCTCCAGGCCCTTCGGCAGCATGGAACCTGGAAGAGAGAGAGCGCAGGTTACAGGAAGCTGGCCCTCAGGCTCCCCGGTGCCCACCTTGTCAGCAGGGCCTGGGACTAAGGGCAGAGGAGTTCCCATCTGAAGCCATTTGGTTGTTTCCCTCCATGAAATAGGATAAAAACTTAACAAGGGTGCACCAACCTTAAGTCTTACTTCAAAGGGGGGAAAAAAAAGGAGAGATTGAAACCCCCAACCCTGTGACATCAGCACTTTGGAAACATGGCCGGGGGCAGAATTCTTTGGACATGCCTCAGGTTTTAGTCTTTTCAGCTCCTTACATACCATTGTTGAGTTTTATGGGTTAATACAGTTAATGGAGGAAATAGTCCTACAAGAAAGGGGCTGGAAATATCATTTACTAAGTGACTGTGACTATTATGTCCAACCAGATCTTAATGACACGAATTCTTCCAGGAAGATTCAAAGTAAAGAAGACAACAATTTAAAAAAGCACCTTTTCTCAGTAACAGGCAGCCGGGAAATGGAAGAGCAGGGGCCGGAATAAAGTGGAGAAAGAACTGGCTGGCCGGGGTGTCGGGACTTGGAGGCTTTCTGAGCTGGGAGAAGAACCTGCTTCCTTTCAAAGAGAAGAGAGTGATCCCTCGGAATAGGTTGGGCCTTCACTTGGAAATACTTTGGAAACATTTACTGATAAGCGTGTATCCTCTCCCTGGGGCAGGCAGAATTCCAAGGCGATCTCGGTGATCCGCCTCCCCACCGGGGAGGGCTTTGTGGGCCTAAGCCCCGTGACTTGCTTCTCACCAACAGGATGTGGCAAAAGTGCCGGATGTCACACCTGGGTTAGGTTCCATTATAAAAGAGTCTACCCTCTGTAGCCTGGAGGTGGGCACCCCCATTAGTGGTTTGAACCTTGCAGAGAGAGGGCCTCTGGAGGTGAACTTTGACATCAACCTGAGGGAACCAGAAAGGGGGTCTTTCCCCAGTCGAGCCTTGAGCTTCGGATGAGTCTACAGCTCTGACACCTGGTTCTCAGCCTCAGCCCTGCCCGCATTCCTGAGCCGAAGAAACTGAGTCATTAAATGGGGAGTCATTACATAGGTATCCTTGTAAGCCACTAAGGATTGGTGGCAATTAAAAGGAACACAGCCTCCCTGCCCAAGGCTCCATGTGGGGATTAGAGTTGATGAGCTACAAGGCGGCTTTGGGGATCTCATTTTACAGATCATCACCCTGGAAAATCGCCCTCTAACTCTTCAGTCTCCTCAGCTCCCGAGGAGAAGCTCCAGCCCCTCCCGCTGCGGGAATTCCTGCCACAGAGCAAGTAAACAAACAGACATCGGGAAGAGTGGGCCGGTGGGCTAAGTGGTGGCTGGAACAGAGCCACACCTGCTTTGTAGCAGCCGGAGGCTGGCTTACACCTGCCCCCTATTTTTCTTTGCAGCAAGAGTTTTAAATCCACTTGCCTGTGGCAGGTGATGAGAACTGTGCTCCAGCCCCCACTGGCGAGGTGACAGCTGGCTCCATCGGGAAGCCACTTGCAGGCAGGCCCGAGGAGGAGAGACCCATCGCCACCCGGCTGAGGGTGTGGGGAGGAGCCCAGGCAGCATGGCCCGCCAGTTTCTCACCCGCACTGTGCTCTCCTGGAAGCTATGAGTAGAACCCCCAGGCTGGTTCTTGATTTCTATTCAGTCCCAACAGAAGGCACTGGCTCAGCCTCCCTGAGGTGCCATTTTGTGGCGCCAGGGGTCTGCTCTCTCTCCTCAGGTCAGTAATGCCTGGAGGTTGTCACTCAAAGAGATGCTCAGGCAAGACTACGGGGACCCAATCACAGGAAGAAGACATCCTCTGTCTTAACTCTCATCAGGGACTTGCAGCAATTACAAGTTTAAACGCTGCGTCTTCCTACTTTGACCTCAGAAGTCCCTTCCCCTGTAGGTGCACCACAGCCCAGGGCCTTGCCCCCCAGGGGCCTGGTGCTGCCCTCCTGCCCCCTGGGCCTGGGGCCGGGGCTGCCTGCAGGAGGAGCCTCCTGCGGAAGGTGGGAAGAGCCCTGAGGGAGAGCTGCCCGCTGGAGTGGGGACTGCCCACACACGGCTGGGCGGGCAGCTTCCGTGGACAGATACAGTGTGTCCACCACCCTCAAGGGCATGCCAGGGCTGCTGGGCTCAGCTGGTGGTGCCAGGGCTTTGCAAAGCCGGAAACAGAGACAGGCCATGTCACATCATTTAGGAAAATACTAGCAAGAGGCCAGAAAGGAGCAGCAGCCAGAGTGCAGTTCTCTGTCTCTCGAGCACTCGCTCACACTCACCCCTTCCTTGGACAGCTGGGGACGCTGAGGGGGAGCGGTAAGGAGGGGGAGAGGGGGAGAGAAAGCACTGCAGGCCCCACAGCAGAGGCTGGCTCAGCCTGGGAGAGAGAAGCTGGGTTTTAGGTCACTGGCATGGACCCAAAGATGGCAGGGAAGTGACAAAATGTAGAGGAAAAAGTAAGAAAAGGGCTGGTGATAAGCTGCCTGCAGGGAGATGCTGGAGAGTGGGAGAGGAAAGATACCTTAAAAGGCATTTTTCTTTCCTCTGAAACTATTTACACTGTATTTACTGCATAACAGGAACATGAGCTTCTAGACTTCGGTAATCTGTATTGAACTTCTGCTCCGTGTCAGTGCTAAGAGCTCCCAAATAAATTGGATGTTTGTGTTTGTGTGTGTGTGTGTGTGTGTGTGTGTGTGTGTGTGTGTTTAAGAAATTGGGGCAAAATGTCAGTTTTATAAGTTTAGAGGAGTTTTCGATGTGGACAGGAGGAAGCTATCTGAGAGCTCAGACAAGGCCCGGTCTATCTTATCTGTTATCTCTCTCCTCCAGCTCAGGGCCAACCACGCCTGCCCCTCCACTCAGAACTCTGGGCTCCCTCCCTCGCTATCAGCCAGGGGACACCCAGCCCTGCTTCCTTTCCAGGCTGACTTCCCTTTCAGGATCTCCCGGCCACCGCTAACGCAGAAACCCAATGGGCAGTCTCCTCACAGGTAACTAAGCGGCCGGTCCCGGAGAGGGCGAGTGTGTGTCTCCTGGAAACCACAACCCTGAACACAACAGCGAGCGTTCCTGCGCCGGGCACTGCTCCAGCCTTTGCCAGGTGCTAGTTCTAGCTCACTCACAGGCACCCAGGAGGCCGCTCCTGTGAAACCCCCATGTCACAGCTGACGCACTGAGGCTCACGCTCGGTGCACGGCAACCAGGCACCAAGCCAAGTGGCCGGGCTCTAGCATCGGAGGTCTTGCCACTTGGTAAGCACACTCCCTAGGAAGTCAGTCAGCTCCCAAATTACAAAGGGGAGGCATTGCAAAGCCTGCTTAAGGGACAAGTGTGTGGTAAGGCACTGGGGCTGGCAGGGCAGGGAACAGGCCTTGCAGACACTGATAGCATAAGCTGAAACAGGTCTACCCTCATTGGAAGTCCGTTTGGCAATAGCTATCAGAACTGCAAATCGCATGCCTTTGGCGCTGGAATTCCACTTACAGACACTTGTGGAGATTTATCCAACTTACATGTATGTGTGTGTACAAGGATACCAACCCGGCACCATTTGTTACGGCCTAGAGTTGGAAAGAACCTAACTGTCACAGATAGAGAAACTAAAGTGAATCCGTACAAAAGAGCACAACAGAGCACAACTCGGGTCTAAAACATGAAGCAGCAGCTCTTTATATGCTGACATGGAAAGGGCCTCAAAGATACTTATCTTCAAAGGAAAAGAGATAGGTGCGAAGTGTGTTGATACATTTGTATTGGCCTGTATGCCTGGAAGCACACACCAGTAATGCCCACAGGGACAGGAAGCAGATAGAAAGGGATAAAAGGGAGAAACACAGACTGGCTGCCTCCTGGGATCAAATCCGAAACCCAGGTATGTGCCCTGAGCGGCAACCTTTCAGGGCACAGGGCGAGGCTCAACCAACTGGGCCACTCCAGCCAGGCAGTATTGGATTTTTGAATGAGTTGTAAAGTAGGTACTTTATTAATGGTTTTACTGATTTTCTTAGAGATAGAGGAAAGAAGAGGGCTAGAGAGAAAGAAACATGGGTGAAAGAGAAACACCCATCAGCTGCCTCCTGTACACCCTTTACTGGGGGATCAAGCCCACAACCCAGGCACGTGCCCTGACTGGGAATTGACCAGTGACCTCTTGGTTCATGCGTTGAGGCCCAACCACTGAGCCACACTGGCCAAGCAGTAGCCCTGGGTTGCTTGGGGCTCAGATTGCATTTTCTTGCAGAGCCGATTTTATATACGTGACCTGGAAAATCTACTGGTCCTATGAGTTACTGGCACAAGGACACGAAGGACACTGGAGGGATGGCCACTGCGGGGCGTCCCTGTGGAGGAGAGCACAGGCAGCCGGAGGCACTGGGCCTGCGGTACACAGCTCTTGTTCGGGAGGTGACCAGTGACACAGACAGGCAGCATTTTATGGTGGGATGGCCCCAGTGCCACAATACAAGATCCTGTCCTCCGCCAATTTCAAAAACTGGCAGGCGACCAGTGTGGTGGCAGAGTGAGGGATGTAGCAGAGGGGGATTGCCCAAGCCAGGGGGACACTCCAAATCTTTGCTCTTCGCCCCCCAGGAAGCAGGATGTTCTGGTTATGGGGGGCGGGGGGAGAGGGGCAAGGAAGAGCTAAGTGCGCGGGGCTTACAGGCCAGCAGTGAGCTGTTAGAACAGAGCTAACAGCTCTGCTGAGTGAGTCCTCGTGGGTGTCTCCCAGGCCAAACGAAGAGAATGTCTAGCCTCCGTGTTTCAGTCAGGACTCTACCCATCACTACCTACCAGGTCCCTACATCCTAAGGTGTAGCCTGCTTGCTCGGACCTCTCCTGTTCTCCATCTTTCCTTTCATGCCATTAGTCTTCTACTCCCACTACCTTCCTCAAATTAAAAGAAAAAAAGAAAAGAGGAAGGAGTGGAGGAAGGGAGGACGGAAGAAGAGAGAGAAATCAAGAAACCTTCCAACGTGTAGCCCTTT